CGACGCGAGGCGGCTGGCGGCGGCGGAGGTCACCGGGGCAGCGGCCTCTGGGGAGGGGAGTCCGGCGCATTAGCGATGCGACTCCTCTCCCAGGAGCCCTCCCTTGCGGCCCGTCTCCTGCCCGTGCCTGTGCGGCTGAGCTCGGGAAGGGCCGGTGCCTCCTAGCCCGGCAGCAGGGAGCCCAGAGCTCTCTTCTCCCCTCCCCGCCCGGCTGTGTTGAGTCCCTGTGGCTGCCCTTGCTGGGCTGCAGGGCTCTCCCTTCGGCGTGCAGCATAAGGGCGTTAGGTAAGAGAGGCCTGGCTGCGTGTTCATTTGGTCGCTGCCTTATTCCAGTCTGGGGTCGATGCATCTGGATTGCAGGCCACCAGTCTATCCAGGTGCCCTTCACTAGTGACGAGACACATCTCAGCCTCCCATACACTGGTGTTTGGGTCAGTCTGAGATCAGAACCAGTGAAAACAGCACAAGCTTCCCCTTAACGTTACAGCATGTCAGCAAAACAAAAAAAGCAGTCATGTAGCACTTTAAAGACTAACAAGATAGTTTATTAAGTGGCTAGTCTTTAAAGTGCTACATGACATCCTGATCTTGGTAAAACAAAAAAGCAAACACGGCTACCTCTCTGTTACTATTCACCATGTCTGCTTCGGGGTGTATCAGTGTGCTGGGACTGGTTGTGCAATGTGTTATTTAACACATGGGCTTACTATATATTTTTTTTTTTTTGGCTGACCTTCATTGCTGTAAAGACTAAGCTGTGCTTGCCTTTTTCATCGTTCTACTAACTGCTTTGGTACCGGCAGTTTCTTCCCAAACACTCACTGAACCAGTGAAGAAGTGAATTTTTGTGGTCTGCCAAAAGTGTTGGTAAAGAGGTGAGAGAAAGCAGCATATAAGTGCATCACCTCATGTCTTGCATCTCCATATGTTCTTCCTAGTGGTCGTAGAATAACCATGATTGTCCTTGCAATAGTAGAGGGACCTTTTGTCTGCTGTGACTCATGATATGTCTAAATAGAGATGGAAAAATACTTTTCTTTGCCTTGGGCAGGTGTGAGTTTGTGTGTGGAGTTTTGAAATGGAACACTTCAAAAGGAAACTTAAGTTATTGGCTACTAACTAAATTTTAGCCTCTCTAAAAATGAGGACAATTTAAACAGTATATAAAATGCCTTCTTTTTTACATCATTGAAGGGCATGTCCCGTGCTTCTTACTAAGCAAACTACAGACCAATATCTAAAGACTGTTTATAGCCTGAAAGAACTGGAAAAGACTGGGATATGCCAAGAAGCCCAGAGATGGGCGTAATCTTGATGACATC